AATAAATGCTTGCTTAAAGTCACCAAGTTTTGGAGTGGATTGTTACTCAGCAATAGATATGGATGCAAGCTTAAGTATGCCCTCAATCTAGTTAATAAAGAGCATTTCCAATTAAACCAGCAACTGTACCTAGAAGTGACCTCCCCATGCCAAAAGGAGTTAATGGGTAAATGGGACTGTTAAGCATTATTTTCTTTTGTTGAACAGTTTCATCCAAGTTCCTATGCTAAAAATTTTCAGCACATTTCTCAGAATTAGCTTTATATAATAGTTTTATTCTGTGAAAAAAGACATTTTCTTTAGTGTTTCAATAAAATAATAAAATAATCTTTTATCTGGCATTTTAAAGGAGAGTAGTCCCCATTTGTCTGATTTTCATCTCATTGAGTATTTAACCATAGAGTTTAAAGTCAAAGACAGGAAAAAAAAAAAAGTCTTTTTAGGCCAGATGTTAAATGCTGAGAAAAACTGAAGATAATAGAAAGCTTTTCTTGGGCAACCAAGATCCTCTTTTAGTAAAACTCTGATGTTACAAGGAACAGGAAACAGGAGTGCTACACAAGTAGAAAAGACAAGGCCATTTAAACAAGGTCAGGGCCAAATTAGTTTTGTTTTTGAAGCTATTTAATTTGCCAGTACATGGGGACCACCAGTTCTTCTAATTCTATGTCACCAGTAGGGACAGGATTAAAAATCAGTTTCTTTTCTCTGATAGTTTAATGGTATAATACTCTAGATTAGTGGTTCTCAACCTTCCTAATGCCACAACCCTTTAATACAGTTCCTCATGCTGTGGTGACCCCAAACCATAAAATTATTTTCGTTGCTACTTCATATCTGTAATTTTGTTACTGTTATAAATCGTAATGTAAATATCTGATATGCAGGATGTATTTTCATTGTTACAAATTGAACATAATTAAAGCATAGTGATTAATCACAAAAACAATATGTGATTATATATGTGTTTTCTGATGGTCTTAGGCGACCCCTGTGAAAGGGTCTTTCGACCTCCAAAGGGGTCGGGACCCACAGGTTGAGAACCACTGTTCTAGATGTTTCCATTCCAAATTTCCTGTATCTCACAATTTTTTTTAAAGGGAGGGGAGTAAATCTTTTCCCTTGTTTTTAAAAATATTTTCATTGGTTTCAGAGAGGAAGGGAGAGGAAGAGAAACAATGATGAGAGGGAATCATTGATTGGTTGCTTCCTGCATGGGCCCCCCACCGGGGACTGAGCCCACAACCCAGGCATGTGTCCTTGACCGGAATTGAACCTGGGACCCTTTAGTCCGCAGGGCCGACGCTCCATCCACTGAGCCAAAACAGCTAGGGCTACAATTTTCTTTTTCATTTTTTAAAAAATATATTTTATTGATTTTTTTACAGAGAGGAAGGGAGAGGGATAGAGAGTTAGAAACATCGATGAGAGAGAAACATGGATCAGCTGCCTCCTGCACACCCCCTACTGGAGATGTTGCCCAAAACCAAGGTACATGCCCTTGACTGGAATCGAACCTTTTTTTTTAAAGTCAATATTTATGTCACAGAGGTACTGTAATGATTAAATGGGATAATGTGGGAAGCTTATCTCACATTTAGTACATGTTCAGTGATTTCCTTTTTTTAAAACTATGTTTTCATTGATTTCAGAGAGGGAGAGATAGAAACATCAATGATGAATCATTGAGTGCCTGCACGCCCCCTACTAGGGATTGAGCCCACAACCCAGGAACGTGCCCTTGACAGGAATTGAACCTGGGACCCTTCAGTCACAGGCTGATGCTCTATCCACTGAGCCAAACCAACTAGGGCAGGGCTACAATTTTCTTAATCAGAATTGTAGGTCAGGATTTCCACTCATGCTGTGATCTGTCCGTGGTACTTGGCAAAACTCACTAGCAAATGTGAAAAGATTCCCAGACAGCCATGAAAGTACAGTCAATATAAAACTATCTGAGATGGTAAGGCAGCATGGAAATCACACTGAGACATTTGTTTAGGTTTGGGTGGCACCGGTAAAGTAAGACTGCAAGGATATAGCAAAACACACACACCTTCCCAGGTCTGAGGTAATTTTTAGGGTAGAATTGTATATGGTAGGGTTCAAAGGAAGCTAAAAAGAATTAAGTGGCAGTTACAGTTAACAAGAAAATTTTGTCATTACTTTTTTAAAAATATTTTTTTATTGATTTCAGAGGAAGGGAGTGGGAGAGGGAGAGAGAATGATGAGAATCATTGATTGGCTGCCTCCTGCATGCCCCACACTGGGGATCAGCTCACAACCTGGGCGTGTGCCCTGACTGGGAATTGAACCATGACCTCCTAGTTCATAGGTCAATGCTCAAACACTGAGCCATGCTGGCTGGGCTCATTACTTTTGAAGGTCTTCAAAGTGAGCTACCTTTCTTTTTTGAGATAACATGCTTCCCTCCTGAGATTGAAAAGTTCTGGCCTTTAGACTTGTGATGGGTTCAGAGAGGAAGTACTGTCTAGTGGTTAAAAACATGGGTGGGTGTTGAAGGGCTTGTTCTGTATTCTGATTATGGTGGTCATTAAATGAACCTATACAGATATTTAAAACCCATAGAACTATATATCAAAAGGAAAACAAGCCAGTTTTACTGTATAATTTAAAAAACCCACATGGGTGCTGGTTTGAATCAATCACTTATTAGTTGTGTAACCCTAGGCTTATTTGTGCCTCACTTTCCCATCTGTAAATGCAGGTAATACTTCCTGCATGGGATTGTAAGGATTCAGTTAATATGTGTAAAGCACTTCAAATAGTGCTTGGCTCAATACAAGAGCTAACTACTATCCTATCTAATAAAGGAATATGCAAATTAACTGTCACGCTGTGACAAAGATGGTGGCGCCCATAGTGGTGGAGGGCAGGGGGAGGATGCTGGCGGCGTCGCCCTGGTGACACGAGCCCAGTATCCCGTGCCCTGGCTGTGCGGAGAGAGGGGTCAGGGGGGCCCAGCATCCTGAGCCCCGGCTGTGCAGAGGGAGGGGCCTCTGGCCAGAGACCAGGGCGTGAGATGCTAGCATTGTTTCAGGCCGGGCTGTGGGACCCTCCCCCAGCCCCCCATGCACAAATTTTTTGCACCAGGCCTCTAGTCCTATATAATAAAAGCCTAATATGCTAAGTGTCTGGTCGACCGGTTGGCCGTTCAACCAATCAAAGCATATGCTAATGATATGCTAAGGCTGCTCAACTGCTCGCTATGACATGCAGTGACCACCAGGGGGCAGGTGCTCTGACCCAGTAAGTTAGCTTGCTGCTGGGGTCCGCAGATTGGGACTGAGTGAGACAGGCAAGACACGCCCTGGAGCCCTCCCGCTGTCCCTCCCTGGCTGGCCAACCTCCTGCATCTCTCCCTGGTCCTGATAGTGCACTAGTGGGGTCTCGTGGCCTGGCCTGCACCCTCTTGCAACCTAGGACCCCTCAGGGGATGTTGGAGAGCTGGTTTCAGCCCGATCCCAAAGGTCAGGCCGAGGGACTGCACTGGTACATGAATTCATGCACTGGGCCTTCCTATATAATAAAAGGGTACTATGCAAATTCACCCTAACAGCAGAACAACCACTGGACCAGTCATTATGAGGCACACTGACCACTTCTTGGTCCCTTTGCCCGGCTGGCAGGCTCTGATCGCCTGATGGCCACCCACTGCAGGGGCAGGGCCGGCGAGCCAGCAGGAACAGCCGAACTCTTGGTCCCTTCCTCTGGCTGTCAGGCACCTATCACCTGATGGTGAACAGGGAACCCGGGGTGGGTGGTGGCAGGGGGCAGGGCTGGCTGCAGGCAGCTGGGGAAGATGGCCCTGATTGCAGGTCAGACCTAGGGACTGTACCCATGCACAAATTTTGTGTGCCAGGCCTCTGGTTATTATATAAAAGAATAATACGATATGTGGGTTATCATGATTATTGAAACTATGAGTAGTCTGAAATATAACTAACATGAAGTACTACTACCTTTATGCAAGAAAGGAAGAAACCCTAGAAAAGTGTAAATGCTACTAAGCAAATTTAAATCTGTTCTGTTGCTATTGTCCAAGGAAGATATAAACTAACCAAACAAAAAAAAATCCCCTCATTCTCCTAATTCATTCATTCATGCATTCATTGAATGCCCATTTTCCAGGGACTTATTGAAAAGTAAGAAATTATCTTGGCAGGCTTTCATTGATGGTGTTCTTTAGTATGTGTGTGTCTTTTTTGTGTGGCCTCAGTTTTCTCAAATTTACTTCAGCTACTGGCCAAAGGTACTGACAATGTCTGTGATTAAGTATCATACCTATTGCATCTACCAATGAAATAATAAGACCCAATACATTCTTCCACTAGGTTGATTCTGAGAATTATTTGGGAAGTAAAAGGAAGCTTTTGAAAAACAGGAATCCAGGGGGTTCAAGCAAAGGTTGTTTTAAGGATGATCTAGACCCATGGCCGGCAAACTGCGGCTCGCGAGTCACATGTGGTTCTTTGGCCCCTTGAGTGTGGCTCTTCCTAAGCCTTAGGAAGACCCTAATTAAGTTAATAACAATGTACCTACCTATATAGTTTAAGTTTAAAAAATTTGGCTCTCAAAAGAAATTTCAATCGTTGTACTGTTGATATTTGGCCCTGTTGACTAATGAGTTTGCTGACCACTGATCTAGACAAACTCAGAAATATTCGGATCATGAAACTCCTTTACTAAATATATTTTCAAAGAGACAATAAGGATGCTCTTTGACATGAAGAGAAACCATGAGGCATCATTCCTAAATGATGTTAAAGTATTAGACTTGAACCATGTCCTTCCCACTACAGGGCATCAGTGGGGCAGACACAACGGAGAGACAGAGAGCAGGCAGAGGTGCTCTCTATTTGAGTCACATGAGCCTGAAGTCTTGTTTTTAATGTTTAAGCATTACTCTTTGACAGCTGAGAGAAAGCAATCCCCAAGGGAGGAGGAAAGGCGCCAAGACAAAATGGAACAGTCTGAGAAAGAATGGAAATGATTCTATTGCTCCATGAGGCAGAGCCAAGTGGGAGGGAAGCCAGGGTAAATGATCAGAGGCTGTCTACGAAACAGCTCTCCCAGCACTGGGCGCCTACTCAGTGAGGCCATAACAACTCTGCCATGGCTGGCACAGCTGAAGCTCCTAGTTAGTCATCTGCAGAAAACTAGTCTTGATCTCCATTTTGAAGAAGTGTCTGAATGATCAAAAAACACAAGCGCATAAGTGTGCATCTGCACTCCACTTCTTCTCGGTGGCCATGGGAAGTGAGTGTCGCAAGTATCAAACAAATTTAGACTTTGGGGAACTACATGGTAAAGCTCTAAAGATCCATATGGCTTGCCATTTATGGTGACTAAAAATACAAAATGTGTTAAACTTAATTTTGTCTCAGTAACTGGAAAAAATGGTGCTGTTTAAAGGGGGAAAAAGGAGGTGTAACTTTTAAAAATAAAGCTTTGACTTGAGCCATGCCAGTGTGTCTCTGTGGTTGAGCGTAGACCTATGAACCAGAACCAGGAGGTCACGGTTCGATTCCCGGTCAGGGCATATGACGGGGTTGCGGGCTCATTCTTCAGTGTGGGGCGTGCAGGAGGCAGCCCATCAGTTGATCTTTCTATTTCTCTCCCTTTCCCTTACCCTCTGAAATCAATAAAAATATATTAAAACAAAAAAACTTCTGAGTTTAATATTACATTGAAGTTATAAAGCCCTTTAGTGGCACATACTTTGTCCTTTTAGGTGTCACAAATACAAAGAAGTGACATACTGACCACCACAGGCCTGCAGAGCCAAGTAAATGACCTAATATAAACTTGCTTCCTAGTCACTCAAAACAACCTGTTCTGTGGAAGTGAGGGGGCTGTCCTGACTTAGCTTCAATGATTACTGATTCAAGGGAAGTCTTTATACTCTGACTAATGGATTAAGAAGTATCAGTAAACTGACTAAAGCTGAGAAACCAATATAGTAACAGAATTTTCTTAAAGCACAATCCACTGTGGAACAGCTGAATAGGCAGCCGTGATCTGGGCTGCATTAGGTTGGCAGAATATGAAGTAAATTAATACCAGATCCTAGCAGAAGTCCTTGACTGTCTAGGCATGGATCTTTTTGTGTGAGGTTTCAGAACCACCCATTTCCTGCCTTTTTACTGAGAATCATAAAAGGTTCAGACTGAGAAAAATCTGCTCTTTCCTCACTTTATAGGTGAGAAAATAACTAGGGACACAAACTTACTTAGTAAACTGTAATGTTTGAAACTCCTAACAAAGCACCTTGGAACATTATAGTACTCACTTTGAAACACAATGGGAGTGAGGGCTACAAAGTTTTACAAGTTGCATCTTATTCTAAGAGGCCTTAGAGAGAAGGGGGCTAGAGGATACACATTGACAGAGAACATTATGCTAAATCTGAGTCAAGAGAAAATTCATGGATCTGACTGCAATTCAGGCCAATGTATCCCACTAGCATTTACTCAACTTCGGGATCTGGGACTTGACTTGCCAATTGTTCATTGTATTTAGCTAGGAATAATGAAAGGTATAAACTTCTGATTAATGTAATGTTATACAGTATACACAAATGTTAAAATGGTTATATTCTCTGACCGTTGTAGAATAGACTATGGTTGCTAGAAAGATATAACTTGAATCCTTCTGTACCTAAGATTTTTCAGACACTTTTAATTCATGTCAGGTAAACTTCCGCTTCTTCTCCAGTGTCCATTCTCCCCTTCAGTAATAAAAATCTGAAATGGTCCCTATTTCCCTCTACATCTCCCAGCTCTCTTGTGGATGGGTATGGCAATGTGACTGTTGACCCACCAATGGACTGTGTGAAATGATGGATGCAACTTCCAGGTCTTGCCCGCCTGTTTTAAGCAGGGAAGCTGCCGGCTCTTCATCTCTGTCCCTCTTCCCTCTCACTGGAAAAGGATGGCACTTGAACAAACACCAGAGACCTACAGATGGAAGCCACGGAGTATTCCACCAGTTGGATCCTTGGATGACTACAAGGTGCAGAGCCACCTGCTCACTTCTATCTTACTTTGGAGAAACTGATTTTCTGTCACTTTTGCCTATGCCAATTGCTAAGTGGAACTCTCATTCAGACTCCAAATAAGGAATGACATCTGGTCTCAATAAAAAACAGTAGTGAGAGAAACTTGAATGTAGCAGAACTCCTTTTTAGGCATATTTGGGTCACACATGCATACACACACCCTTCAAAAAACAACTTATAGTTACAAACTCAATACAAATAGGCACAGTTCTGAGTAGTTAAAAGGGTGGGCACAGGGGAGCTTGATTATAGCTCCATAGTTAATACCAGCGTGAGCAAGGCCAACTCCATATTTTCACCCGTTTTTCTTCTTCTGCAGATTGCACACAAGGGAAGGAAGCTTCTTGGTTTTATAGGCCACAGTTCCTTTGATGCGCTCTCCTTTGATGTTAACGATATGTGGCAAGAGAGGTGGCCGGACCGTCAGCACTGTTCCTTGAGGTGTATAGCCTCGGAGATGTAGTCTGTCTTTAAACTGAGGTGTTACTGCAACCCAACCTATGCAGGCATGCAGCAGAACACAGAATGGTGTCAGCAACTATCCTTCCCCTTGGCCCCGCGCCTCCACTGCCGCCTCCCCGCCCCCCCCCCCCCCCCCGCCCCACTATCACAACTATGCAGTTGGGTTTCCCACATTTGGGGAAATTGTAGGGGTCAGCACATCTAGAGTGCAATGGATAAGCCTCGCCCTAGGAAGACCACCTTTGTGATCATGGTATCTCCCCTGCCAGGTATATTAACAACTACCTTATTGAAAACACTAAACTAAAGCTTCAAATTGAGCATGGAGGAGGCTACTGTTCTTTCACGCTGTATTTTAAAAACGCATACCATGCATTTGTGAAAAGGTACAAATTTATTTTTGGAGAAGGTTGCATTATCTAGCATGTTCCAGTAGAACAGTCACCTTATGTTAGTTAAGATACATTTCTAATAAAAAAGGCTACTTTATTCATCTTTTTAAAAAGTGCTTGGTGCCCTGTCCAGTTTGGCTTAGTTGGTTAGGCATCATCCTGTGCACCAAAAGGTTGCCAGTTTGATTCTAGGTCAGGGCACATGCCTGGGTTTTGGGCAGATCCCCAGTAGGGGGCATGCAGGAAGCAGCTGATCCACATTAATGTTTCTTTCTCTTTCTCCTTCTCCCTTCCTCTCTCTCTCTCTAAAATCAATAAAATATATTTAAAAAAAAAGTTCCTGGTATGAAATTACCTGCAGAGGAAAACTTGATGTCAGCCACTGCTTCAGGTTTCCCAAGTCCTTCTTCTAATGTAATGTCTTCAGCAACAAGAAGAGGAAATTCTGCCATTCGCTCTTTTCCACCCATTGGAACCTTTCGTTGAGATAAAATGAAGATGTTTATAAGTACAAATTAAATACCCTATAACTCTAATATAAAGTAAAGCACTGATAAGGTAATTCTGTACATGATCAAGAATAAAATCCTTTAAACATTAATGGTTGAAAAAGACCCAAATCACTTCTAGTCAAATGAAGAGCACAGGAAACCTATAGTTCCCAGTGCCAAAGGTCACATGTGGATGGTAACTCCTGATAGCAGGATCTACTTTATTAGTTTACCCTATTTTTACAGCCCTCTATACAGCTCTACAAAGAGTAATGATGGGCAATTAAGGCAACATCTTTCCAAATACTTTAGCTCTTAGAGGCCTGGCTACCCACAAAGATTAATCCCTGCCTCATGACAAGTCAAGGGTACACATATAAGATTCAGCGTCTATGTTTATAGATGTTTTCATGAATTGGAAGTGACTGGATAGTAATCCTATCTAATAATAGACAAACATGGTAATTGACCGTACCTCCAACACACTTACCATTGGCTAATCAGGGCGATATGCAAACTAACTGCCAACCAAGATGGCGGCCGGCAGCCAGGTAGCTGAAGCAAACAGGAGGCTTGCTTGCTCCAGTGATGGAGGAAGCCAAGGTTCCCCGCTTGCCGCTGCCGGCCTCTGAGCTGCACTCTAAGAAACAATGTTGCAATTATACAAGCTAAACAAACCCCAGAAACCTGCTTTCAGCCAGCCAGACCTAAAAGCTGGAGCTGCAACAGTGTTTCAATTATAGAAGCCAAACTAACCCAGATACTTGCTTTCAGCAGCCTAGGCCTCAGAGCTGGAGCCGAGCCTCAGAGCTAAAGCCGGCTCTCAGTTCCAGTGACAGCCATAGAAGGTAAATAAATCCCAGAATAAAAAAAAAGAAAAAGAGAGAGGTTGGGAGCTTCAGTCACCCGCCAGCCTGAAAACAGCCCTCAGCCCCTCACCCAGGCTGGCCAGGCACCCCAGTGGGGACCCCCACCCTGAAGGGGGTGTGACCAGCTGAAAACAGCCATCATCCCCTCATCCAGGCTGGCCAGGCACCCCAGCAGGACCCCCACCCTGATCTGGGACACCCTTCAGGGCAAACCAGCCGGCCCCCACCCGTGCACCAGGCCTCTATCCTATATAGTAACAGGGTAATATGCAAACTGATCCTAAGAGCAGGACTGGGAATGACTGGTTACTATGACACACACTGACCACCAGGGGGCAGACGCTCAACGCAGGAGCTGCCCTCTGGTGGTCAGGGCGCTCTCACATGGGAGGAGCTCTGCTCAGCCACAAGCCAGGCTGATGGCTGCCAGTACAGCGGTGGTGGTGGAAACCTCTCCCGCCTCCTCAGCAGCACTAAGGATGTCCAACTGCAGTTTAGGCCTGCTCCCGCTGGCAAGTGGACATCCCCCGAAGGCTGCTGGGCTGCCAGACGAGTGTCTGATTGCCATCTTAGGCCCAATCCCCCGGGAGCGGGCCTAAGTCAGCAGGTGGTCATCCCCTGAGGGGCCCCAGACTGCGAGAGGGCACAGTCTGGGCTGAGGGACCCCCCCCTCCCGCAGTTCACAAATTTTTGTGCACTGGGCCTCTAGTCTATATATATAAAAGCCTAAGTGACCAGCCAACCTGCTGACTGTCCAGTAGCTATGACGCGCACTGACCACCAGGGGGCAGAAGCTCAACGCAGGAGTGGAAACCACAGGCATGGAAACATGGAACAGACTGATGAATCACAGAGGGAAGAGGGGAGGGGAGAGGGGAGATCTTATGTGCATACTAGAGGCCCGGTGGGTCCCTCGGTCTGGCCTGCGGGGATAGAGTTGAAACCGGCTCTCTGACATCCCCTGATAGGTCCCGGATTGCAAGAGGGTTCAGGCCAGGCCGAGGGACCCCACTGGTGCACGAATCCGTGTACCGGGCCTCTAGTTTATTAACAGATGTCTCTATGTTTAGCACTAGGGAGATAAAGATAGATGTAACAGTATAGTCCCATCCCCCAAGGAAATCAGAAGGTGGAAATAACAAGTAATCCAAGTGCAAGGTAAGAAATGTCGTGAGAGGCATATATTATGTATTCTGGTTGTGGAGGCAGTACTGCCATTTTGGACCAGGTAATTCTGTGTTGTGAGGGGCTGTCCTGTGCACTGCAGAATGTTTAGCATCATCCTTGGCCTCTAACCACTTGATGCCAGTAGCACCCCCCCGGTTGTGAGAAAATCTGTAACTTCTCTTCACTCAGCATTATCCAATGCAACTTTCTGCAATGATGTGACTACTGAGCAGTTGAAAAGTGGCTAGTGCAACCGAAGAACTAAATTTTACATTTTATTTAATTAATTTAAATTTAAGAGCCACATGTGGCTACCATATTGGACAGTGTAGTCTAGGGAAAACACAGCTCAGGAGCTATTCTAGGATCAGTCCAACATCCCTTTCCTTACAGGGCGCACTTCACTTCATAGCCAAATCCTCAAGGAGAACAAGGTGAGGGGAGAGTTAGCTGATGGTATAACAAAGATGATTCTAACAAAGGCTTTCTTAGCAGAGCTGTGGGACTATCAAGGTGTATGCTAACCTAACCATGCAATCATCAGAGTGTGTCGCCTCACCTTGAGTAATATATCACCTGCGTGCTTCTGATATATAGTATCTGCCTTCTCCAAGGAGGTAATGTGCACAGGAAGGAAGTTGGAAGCCACTACTGTAAACCAAGCTGACTGACTTCCCTTAAGAAAGAAAGAAGTTATTTTACACAATGAAAAACTTGCAAAAACAGCAAAAGGCACAATTAAAAAACAACAACACAGCTCCCTTATAAGTACTGGTAATAAAACTATATTAATGCCTAAGAATAAGGGTACAATGTGGCAGAAGCTGTGCATTTCAACAACTGATGTAAAACCAATTCCTTCTCACAGGTTCATTGATAATTGTTTAAATAAATGGTAATTTTATTAAAAACAAAGGGAAATACTGTCTGCTTCATCTGTCCCTGTTTAAAAAATTATCTTTCTGTGAGCTTCAAAGAAATATATACGGGTTTTAAGTGTGTAAAGATAAATTTCCAACAAATTATGAACAAACACCAAACCCAAGAAATGTACTAAAGCAATGGCCTGCAAGTTGCAAAATGTGTTGTTGAACATATCCATGTTTCACTTTCCTTGTTCGGGGAGCACTTCTATAAATACTCTAAAATCCCCAGAATGATACTATGAAAACCCAAACAAAACCATATATAAAAGCATACATAACATGGGACATAAAGAAGTGTGGAATTTATTTAATGCATATTAAGCCTGTACTTACTTAAAGGTTTGACCAATGATTTCCCTGTGAAACAATACCACAGATGGGGCAGTATCTTTTCTTAATGCTAAGCTGTATGGGGCCTGAGCATCCTATTGAAGATATAGTTCTAAGCCCAACTACCATATTCCCCCCACCCCCTATTAATTTTACCAAGTTTTTAGAATGAGCATTTTAAAAAAATAGAATAGTTTATCAATGCCCACATAGTCATGATCAGCATTTTGTCAGTCTTGTTCATAAATCTGCTTCCTTGAAATAAATCTGAAAACTGTCACTTTTTTTTAAATTGATTTCAAAGAGGGAGAGGGAGAAAGAGATAGAAACATCAATGATGAGGGAGAATCATTGATTGGCTGCCTCATGCATGCCCACACTGGGGACCAAGCCTGCAACCCAGGCATGTGCCCTGACCGGGAATCAAACCATGACTGCCAGGTTCAAAGGTTGATGCTCAACCACTGAGCCACACCAACTGGGGACTAAGTAACTTTTTAATGATACAGACTTCCCTTACCTGCAGAAAATCTATGCGTCCTAAGGCACCCAAAAATAGAACCATTCCAGGTTTAAGCACAAAAGTTCTTGGAATAATGGAGTGTGTTGGCAAGACAATATTCACTTCTTTTTCTGTTAGAAGTTTTAAAATCTGTGAAGTAAAGGGTAGATATTTTGAAAGAATTACTTTTATGGAAAATACATGATTTACCTAAGAGATAAACAGTGATGAAAAAAATATTCCAGACTTCACAATAAACCAAAGTATGTCATAATTTGCTGCACATAAAATTTATTCATTCTTTCCATCAAAATGAATTAATTTACTAATGGCTCTACTCTCGTTTCACAACTGAATCTTGAGTAATGACAAAATAAATTTATGAGTGTGAAATTTTCTTTCTTATGTCAGTAGAATCCCCCTAATGTCAAAATTGGCATGAACTGAAAACAGTGATGATTCAATTCCAAAAGAGCATAAATGTTCTCACCATCAAGGCTTATAGGGATGCAACAGTTTTCAGCTAAAGGTAAGGTAATAAGTTATCTTATGTCCTAGTGGCTAGTATGTGCGAATTAAATGCAAAATGGTTACAGCATTTTAGGAACAGGTAAAGAGCTTGAACAAACTCTTCCTAAATTCTGGTCTTTAGTTTCCTAATTTACCCCAAATACTCAGCAAAAAGTGGCTCCTAAGAATGAAGAGTTCCTTAATAGACTAGAGAAAACAGAAAAGGAAAGCCAGGAAGTACAATATCCTAGTAAGATTTAAGGAACCAAAATTTGATTTAACAAGAAAAAGAATAGGGAAGGTAAAAAAATGGTATAAAAGAAAACTTTTGTGAACTTGCTTAAAGAAATAGAAATTATGTGATACCGTCCTGGCTAGGTGGCTCAGTGGTTGAGCACTGACCTTTGAACCAGGAGGTCATGGTTCATTTTTCAGTCAGGGCACATATCTGGGTTGTGGGCTCCAGGCCCAGTATGGGGTATGCAGGAGGCTTCTGATCAATGATTCTCTGTCATCATTGATGTTTCTATCTCCCTCTCCTTTCCTCTCTCTCGCAACTAAAAAAAAAAAAAAAAAAAAAAAAGCCATCTGTAGTAAAGAAACCTTTAAACACTTTTTAGACCCTAAGATTTCCATAAGACCTTCATTTCACAACAGAATTTCTTGGTTTGCTTTGGGAAACTGTTTTAAGGCATCAAATAAATTAATCAATCAACTGACACTAGAAGCAAAGTACCTTAAACACCTTAAAGACCCTTTATATCTCAACACTTGAGGGTGGGATTCTGCTGGGCTAGAATATTTAGCAAATTCTTGCCTTTCTGACTATTTGACAAGAAGTGTGTATGACTAAAGTAACTGCTATCCTTGACCTGATTCTAAAAGGGAAACATGAGGTGAAGTTATTGTGATAATACCATTCTGAGAATGAAACTCTTAAGTAACCCTGATAAGGCAAAGGAAGGAAAAGTACCTAAGAAACCAATGTTGTTTCACAGGGAGATACAGAGATAATTAGGTGAATTAGATACTGGTCAGTAACCAGATTCAAATAGATCTGCAGTAAGGCTGTATCCTGGCTGTACACTTGAGTCAATGAATGAATGATGATCATTCATGATGAGGATCAAAACTGCAAATAAATAAAAAGTTGTGAGACTTAAAAAGTATGTAGGATATAGGTTGAATTTAATGAGATAGGATCAAAGCTGCTCAGGAGATACCAAGGTTGAATTAAAAAGATGTACAAGGGGCCCTAGCCAGTTTGCCTCAGTGGATAGAGCATTGGCCTGCTGCCGGAAGCCGGTCCATCCTTGCTGCTTGACACAGTCGCTGCAGGAAAGAAACATCTGCACAGCATATGTTTCAAGGGACCTGGCGTATATAGCATACTGTTCTTAATATGTTTGCTCCCCTTAGCGCTGTGTGTTTTAACCAAGGTCACCTCTCCAAGAAAGGTTGTTTCCCCAGGTAGGAATTTTTCCCTGAAGTCAGGGAGGGGATGCCTCTCCTAGAAAGGTTGTTTCCCCAGGTAGGAATTTTTCCCTGAAGTCAGGGAGGGGATGAAACTCCTTAACTAAGTGCCAGGCGGGTAGTTAATCACTACAAACAATCATGCTTAAGCTACATAATCTTTACTCCCTGGAATGGAGATAAGAAATGCCCTAACCTTTGTAATAGAAATTGACAGGATTAAAATCAACTGGTATAAATACGGATGTAACAAGACAATAAACAGCAGAACTTCGCTGGAGATCCAGACCAGAACTTGGCTGGAGATCCTGGTTAGAGATCCTGGCTAGGCTGCTGATCAACTGAACGCTGTCTCCGTGTCCTTCCTTCTTCGCCGACTCCGTCTACACCTTTGGGAACCCCTGGACCTGCTGGGGTTGGACCCCGGCAGCCTGCAGACCAAAGGGTCCCAGGTTTGATTACAGTCAAGGGAAAGTACCCTGGTTGCAGGCTCCTCCCTGGCCCGGACCCTGGTTGGGCATGTGCAGGAGGCAACCAATAGATGTGTTTCTCTCACATCCACAGCTCTCTGTCTTTCTCTTTCTTTTCCACTCCCTCTAAAAAAATAAAAAATAAAAAATAAATCAATGAGGAAAAAAATGTACAAGGGCAAGACAGGTAATGTTAATCCTGTTCTAAATTATGCTGAAATGAGGGCACTCATACAAGAAATTCCATTCTTTTTATTTTTTAAATCTTCACCTGAGATGTTTATTGACTTGAGAGAGGAACGGGGGCAGAGAGAGAGAAAATATTGATGGGTTGCCTCCCATACACAACCTGACCAGGGATAGAACTTGCAACCTTTTTGGTGTATGGGACGAGGCTCCAACCAACTGAGCCACCTGGCCAGGGCAAGAGAAATTTCATTCTTAGTGTCATAATCTTAACAACAAAAACAAATTAGAAAACATTCCGAAAGGGGCCTGGTTGATGAATAGCTTATCTCTCAGAGAGAACATATGTAGAAAATAAGGACAAATAATCTGGATTATGTCAGCATAGAAAATATTCAATGTTTGTTGGATGAACTAATGAAAGAATAGAGGAAGAGATAGGACATTATATTTTAACATATTTCAAAGCTTTGAGGAGCAATGGGTACAAGTTATAGGAAGACTGTTCAGCTCAATACAAAGAGCAGGTCAAAATCACACAGGTTACCCTGGGCGGCAAGGTGACATTGCCTCAGCTGATGAGGAGTCACTCCTCACTTCAGTTCAAGCTGGGTGCCCTCTGATGGATGTTATAGAGGTACTTCAAGCATGGAATAGGTGGCTGGACTGTAGTAATATTTATAATTTTGTCCAACCTCAAAATCTAAGATTCTATACATGTCTCCCTAACTAAGGTAACAAGCACAATAACACAAGTAGGGTGTCAGCAGTGAAGCCCAACAAATTAAATATAGAACTTGATGGCATATAGTTTCATCCCTGAACCATTTCTATGAATGAATCAGAATTGAGTCTATCATGAAAGTATATCTCCTTTTTTGTGTTCTACCAATTAAGACAGTACTCATGGAATTGAAAGTTAACGTTCCTATAGTCCAAGTGCCCAATAGTTGATGAGTGGATAAAAATGCTGTGGTACATTTACACCATGGCATACTACGTGGTTGTAAGAAAGAAGGAACTCTTACCCTTTGTGACAGCATGGTTAGACCTGGAGATTATTATGCTAAGTGAAATAAGCCATTTAGAGAAGGACAAATATCACCTAATCTCACTTATATGTAGAATCAAAAGAACAATATAGAACGAGAGGCATAATTAAAAAGAATAGTCTGACAGATCTCAGAGGGGAGGATGGGAAGAGAGCAACCAAAGAATATATATGCATATATGCATAACCCATGGGCACACACAATAATGTGGTGAAGGCCTACTGGGAAGGGGGGTGGGGCAGGGTAGAGGGAGGAAAAGGGTGGAGAAAATGGGGGACATCTGTAACAATCAACAAGAGAAAGAAAAGAAAATTAATGTTTTTAAAACACATCAAATACATACACAATTTTCCTTTGTAATTCCAGGGGTGTCATAAAACCAGTGGGCATCTTTCACATCTTCTGGGGTCAGTTCTACTTTTTTGGTGGATTTATCTGTAACCATAACAGGTTCATTTCCCATGTCATAGGCAAGTGAATCAGCATCAAACTCAAAGGCAGCTTCATTCTTTTGTTCTTCTGAATACAAGAATGTTCTTCCAACTCTTCCTAGAGTAAGTTATATTGGAATAATTAGTTACTCCTTTAAAGCCTTTGATTCCAGACAGATAATTCTTATGTTTGCATCAAACAAGTTACTAGAACTATGAGCTATAAAAGTGAGACTACAATGATATATAGCTTTGATTTTTTTAAAAAGGCAGTGGGAGTGTGGGAGGTAGAGACATGGAAGCATCGAACACTGTCCAACGGGACGGGGGTGGGGGGTGGGGGAGGGGAGTTAAGAGATCAACCAAAGGACTTGTATGCATGCATATAAGCATAACCCATGGACACAGACAGTAGGGAGGTGAGGGCTTGTGTGGGGGCTGGGAATGGCTGGGGAGAGGTCAATGGGGGGAAAAGGAGATATATGTAATACTAAACAATAAAGAATTTAAAAAAAAAAATCATCAGGCCCTAGCCAGTTTGGCTCACTGGATAGAGCTTTGGCCTGGGGACCAAAGGGTCCCAGGCTTGATTCCGGCAGGCTCCTCCCTAGCCCGGACCCTAGTCAGAGCTCATGCAGGAGGCAATCAATTGATGTGTTTCTTTCACATCAATGTTTCTCTCAGTCTTTCCCTCTCTCTTCTACTCTCCCTAAAAGTCAATGGAAAAATATCCTCGGGTGAGGATTAACAACAACAACAACAGCAGGAGTCACACTCTTGCATTGATCAAGTGTGTGCCTGGCTGTGTACATCGCATTTGAGGGAAATTACTGTAAATCAAACTGTTTTTAGTAAATGAAGGTTGAAAAGAGATACCAAGGAAAGGGAGCATCTAATTTACAGCTGCTGCATGGAGTCAAAATTGTACTGTTCTGCACGGAGGGGCCGTATCTTAGTGGAAATGCTTTTACTGCTGTATTTCAGGTTGCTCAACAAAGAATTGTAGCATAGACCACATAAGAGTTTCTTGTAGAAGATGCTTACCTACTACATAACCATGCTTTTTTAAGAGATTAAGTTGTTTTTTTTCTAGCTGACTAAGATCTTCTTCAGCTTCAGCTGCATATTTTTTCAGCCTTTTCCCCCTTTCAAACATTCTGTACGGAGTTGGGTTGCAAATAGGAAACTTCAGAAGGTTTAGTGTAGTGCCTGAAATACCAAAAAATATATTTTAATAAAACTGCACAAGGGAATATGGGGCAGAAAAGTAACATTTCTGAGGAGCTACACACTGAATTGGGTACTGTGATTTATTTCGCTGAACTTCATGACAAAATTATTCTTACTTTATAGATGAGGAAATAGGTTCAGAGACTGGCTTGCAGGCTCAACCAGGATGTGAATCCCAAATCTGCAGATCTGATTTTTTTTCATTTTCACATACTACCATCTTACATAAAAGCACTTCTGTGAAGAGTTCAGCCCAAGTCCACAACAGGTAAGTTAAACACTGATTTCGAAGGAACAAATGAGGCAGTTTTGTCAAATGTTAAATACAAACAGGGTCATAAAAGGACCCATTTTGTCATTACAGAAGTTTGTTAAAACCATAAAATCAAGCCCTATCCAGTTTGGGTCAGTGGATGGAGTATTGGTCCATGGACTGAAGGGTCTCAGGTTCAATTCTGATCAAGGGCGTGTACCTCAGGTTGCAGGCTCAATCCCCAGTCCCAGGTCTGGGCTCATGCAGGAGGCAACCAATCAATGTTTCTCTCACAGTGATGTTTCTCTCTCTCTCCCCACTCCCTTCCACTCTCTCTAAAAATCAATGGAAAAATATCCTCGGGCGAGGATTAACAAAACGAACACACCACAAAATGGACATTTCTTTCAACAAAACCACACGTCATACTGCATTAGTGAATTATTCAAAGGTTAAATGTGTAGAGTATACTGATCACACGAATAAACTCAAGATAGTGGAGGTAGGTTTAGAAAGTCCAAGGACTGCCATGTACACATCCAAAGTAAAGCTCCAGGGGAAACCTCAAGGAGAGCAGGGACTTTGCCGCCTGGTTTATCTCTAGTGCCTGGAACATAGAAGAGCTCCATAGACATTTCTATTAGAAAATGACTGCAACTACTACATTTCCAAGCACTACGCTGACACATAAGAGAGGAGTTATTAAAATAGGGAGAGAATTATTAACGGGAAGGCTACAGACAGCTCCTGGTGGACATTAAGCAACTCAGAAAACGTAGGGGGCGGACCCCCTAAAGCTCACCAGGCCAAGAGGAGATGGTGGCTCGGTCAATTGCCTCGGCACCCTTGGCGATGCAGTAATCCGACTCCAGGAGGGTGTTGAAGAGAGTAGACTTGCCGGCGTTGGTGGCGCCCACCAGGTAGACGTCGCCGCGGTAGCGCCAGGAGCGCTGCAGGGCGGAGATGAGCTCTTCCACTCCGTACCCGGTCTTGGCGCTGATCAGCCGCACGTCCCGGAGGACAGTACCGGACTTGGCCGAAGGACTCGAATTCTCTTCCCCACCAGGTGGCCCGCCCCGGCCGGGGGCCCGCTGGAGCCCGGCGCGGACACAGTCGTCCCACAGACGCTCCCGGAGCCGCTGCAGGTAGCCGGGGGCGTCCTGGGGCAGCAGGTCCACCTTGTTCCCCAGCACGATCAGCTGCTTGGCGCCTACCAGCGCGGGCAGGTCGGGCAGCAGGGCGTCGGGCAGATCGAGCAAGTCCACCATGTAGAGCACCAGGGCGGGCCCGGGCCGCCGCAGCGCGGTGCTCACCAACTGCAGGTACTGCTCGCGGCTCACCTGCAGGCGCAGGGCGCGCCGGTGGTGCACCAGCAGCCAGCAGCGCTGGCACACGGTCCGCGCCAGCCCGTCGGCCTGCGCCCTCGCGCTCAGGAACTTCTCGCTGGGCAGGTAGCCAGGCAAGCCGGGGTCCTGGCAGTGCAGCTCCGCCCCGCAGCCGGAGCAGTTCAGGCCGCTGGACGGCACGGTCGGGTCCGGGTGCCCTACGACCCGGTGCACCCGGAGGCTGGCGCGTAGCTTCTGCTGCCGCCGCTCCTCCCGCCGCTGTAGCTTCTGTCGTTCTTCCTCTTCCTGACGCTGATGCAGCTGCCGCAGCTGCCTTTCCACGGTCGGAGTGGGCTCCGGCTCCGGGACGTATTCGGGGAACAGAAAATGCTCCTCCATGTCATCCCTTCCTTCGGAACCCGCAGTCGCCGTCGGGCCACGAGGAAGCCCAAGTCGCAGGCCCGATGCGTGCTGGGTGGAGGTGGCGGCCGCGCATCTCCTCTCGAGGAGCGGCTCCCGGAGGCCATGGCGCGCTGCCGTGGAAGCTAATCCCCGAAGTAAATGCCAGAGCAGTCCGCGGGTGAGGCCTGCAGGCAGCATGGGGAACGTGGCCCCCGAACCAAGGGGCGGAGCCAAGTGCGCGCACGCGCACTGAACCCAAGAGGCGCGGGCGTGAATGCTGACTAAAGCCCGGGACTACCACACGCTGTCATTAGTCAGCCGCCACACTTCACTCCTCCTCCTGCTCCTAATCCCGTTAATTCTCGCCATCAAGGCTCCGAGGCTTGAGAGCCCGCTTAAAGCTGCGACAAAGGTTCCAGGATCTAGATTGTGCTAGCCGGATTAAAGAGGCTAGTAAAGGTTTTGTCACTTTCAGGCTTCCTCAACGCGCCACCGCTGGCACAACCCGCCAATAGTCACGTTTTAAAAAGCATTGATTTTTGGCTTTAAAAGTGCAAAAACTAGAGCATTAAATGCCGCGGATTTACAGCGAAATTTAAACTGTTTATTAAATATTGGATTTCTTTTTTTTCAGGTGTCATTATTTGTGTAACAACATTGAAAACCAAACAAAACCTTCATTGGCTGGATCCGATCCTTAGACTCTATTTGCGGTCCCCACAATCAGCCATAGGAGGCGTTGGCCCACAATCTGCGCCTGCGCATTTCTAACCCTCACCGCGCTAACCTACCAATTGCGCATGCGCGAACCTTACGTTGGCTTTGTAGGTGGCCTTCGGCGGCAGACGCAGGGTGTTCTGGGAACGCCGGATGCGGAAATCACTTTGTCTCACGCTCCAGGTGCCGGCGGTTGCTGCGGGCATTTTTGTCTGTGATTTCCAGCGTTAGGAGTTCGGGGACCATTTGCCACGATGTATGACGCAGACGAGGGTAGGTGACCGCGGAGACCCATCTCAGGGGGGAAACCTGGGGAGCTGGGCGAATTGAGGATTTGCAGAGTCCCCCCCAAGCCGGCCACACAGGTGTCCCCGGTCTTGTTTCCCTCTTACCCCGGGTCGGGTCGGGAACGAAGCCGGGATTGCCAGAGGCAGAGGGTGCAGGGAATGTAGCGTTAATGTACCCGGTCAGGGCGACTCTTGTTTTTTTCACTGCTTGCTTCTTGATGAATCACACATGCTACTTTCTCGTATTGAAATAGCGAGCAGAACCATAAAGTCAAAATCCGTTTTGACTTTGTTTGCAGTAAAGGGCTCTTTTAAAAATTTCACTTAAGGCCAGAGTTAATGGGTTAATTGAATACAGTAGTTGACTTCTTGAGCATCAACCTGTTCCAGACAACCTGTGCTCTGGGGGGTGGGGGTGCATAGTGTGTGTGGAGGGTGGGGGTGGGAGTGGGAGGAGGGGGGTCTAGTTTGGCATTCCTTCATGCTGTCATATGTCTAAGTAATCTGTCTTAAAAGATGGCCTTTAAATTTCCTCTTCCCACAAAAATGACACAGCTAACTGGGCCATCTGTCTTTGTTTTTTCTTTTCACATATATTTGTCATGTCTAGTGTGTTTTCATGGGAATTTCTAATACTCCCTCTTCCATTCTCCACAGCTACTATTTCAAACTTTGTTTTCTTCTGCCTCCCAATGCTGTGGCCACTCCTCACATTTCTTCTTTATATATATATATAATACATACATATATATATGTATGTATGTATATATTTATGTTATTGATTATTTTTTTACAGAGAGGAAGGGGGAGAGATAGAGAGTTAGAAACATCGATGAGAGAGAAACATCGACCAGCCGCCTCCTGCACACCCCCCCACTGGGGATGTGCCCGCAACCAAGGTACATGCCCCTGACCGGGTTCGAACTCGGGACCCTTGAGTCTGCAGGCCGAGCTCTATCCACTGAGCCAAACCGGTCAGGGCACTCACATTTCTTCTTATTCCCTCCGCTACTTCATGGAGAAAACAGACAAAAGCTTAAATTCTACTGATTCAACTTCTGTCTCATTTATATCTGAGTCTAGAAATTTATTATCATTATGACAGTCTCCTTTCTTAACTTCTATCTCAGTGGAAAAGAAATCCAGAAAAGATTTTTTAGCTTTATTTTTTGAGTAGGTAATATATTCTTGTGTCTCACAAGCCAGAAAATATAAAAAAGGGTCCACCACCTTCCAGTGTGAACCCCCCTCACAGCAGGTAGCCACTGTCCCTCGATTATTTTTTATGTTTTAAGATATATTTTTATTGATTTCAGAGAGGAAGGGAGGGAGACAGAGATAGAAATACCAATGATGAGAGAAAACCACTGACTACTTCCCGCACACTCCCTAACGGGGATTGAGCCCGCAAACCAGCATGTGCCCTTGACCAGAATCAAACCCAGGACCCTTCAGTACGCAGGCCGACACTATCCACTGAGCCTATAAACTGGCTAGGTCTAGATACCTTTTTCTTACCCCCCTCTCCTTGTGTACCGTAGGGATCAGTAATATTAGTTTATTTAAGAATTTATTAAATAACTTTATTTTAGATATGTATTCAATTCTGAATCCAGAACTCAGAATATAAAAGAAAATACAGTACACTTACTCTTAAACATAAGAAGATGAGAGTTATGTTAGAGGATCAGTGCACACTGATTTTTCAAGTGCCCTGTTCAAATTATAATTGCTGTATAATTACCCCAACATTTGGCTGCCTAAAAATTAATATGTTTATGGAGTTAAGTGGTCAGGAATTTGGGTAGAGCATAGTAGGAATGACTTGTCTGCTCCATGTCAGTAGTTCACCTGGGAAGATTCAAAGGCTGGGTGTTGACAGCTGGATGATTTGGAGTGTTTACTCACGTGTCTGGCACTTAGCTTAACAGTGATGGCGAACCTATGACACTCGTGTCAGAGGTGACACGCGAACTCATTTTTTGGTTGATTTTTCTTTGTTAAATGGCACTTAAATATATAAAATAAATATTAAAAATATAAATCTTTGTTTTACTATGGTTGCAAATATCAAAAAATGTCTATAAGTGACACTGCACCAGAGTTAAGTTAGGGTTTTTCAAAATGCTGGCACACCAAGCTCAAAAGGTTCGCCATGACTGGTTTAGAAGGACTGAAGGACTTGAAGTGCTGACTGGAGCATCCGTAATGATGCCCAAATCAAGTAGCCTCTCCACATGATTTGGGCTTACTCACAGTATACAGTTTTAGAGTACTAGGACTTAATGGCAGTTAGGGCTCCAGAAGAAAGTGTTTCAGCAAACAAGGCGGAACAACACTGTCTTTCTGACCTAGTTTCTAAAGTCACATAACGTCGCTTTAGCTGCACTGTCTTAGTTTTGGGAGAGTAAAGAACCTGCCCAGATTCAAAGGAAGGAAACATAGCTGGTGTGGTTGGTGGTTGAGTGTTGACCTATGAACTAGGAGGTCACTTCGATTCCTGATCGGGGCACATACCCTTATGGTGGGCTCCATACCCAGTAGGGGATGTGCATGAGGTGGCTGATCAGTGATTCTCTCACATCATTGATGTTACTATCTTTCCCTTCCTCTCCCTTCCTCTCTGAAATCAATAAAAACAAACAAACATATATATAAAGGGAAGGAAATATAGACCCCTATATCCTGTAAAAAAGCTTGTGAAATGGAAGATATGGTTGTGGCCGCCTTTGGAAAATACAGTTTGTCATACCTGTACATGTGTGAAATGTTTCTGTGATGGACCACCCCACCTTAAGCTATTGTTCAACTACTGGAACCCTTTTCTGTCTCTGCACCTTCATCTTTGACCCCAGTCTCTGAGGACTATGAGCTTGCTCCTAGTTACCTGCATAGATTCTATTAATGAATAGAATGGGAAGATGGGAAACTTACAGATTCACACACTTATGCTGAACCTTTGTAATGAGGCCTCTTTGTATATTGGGTGAATACCTGTGTGATGTACACCTATGTGTACATAGATGTTTGCCCATGTGTGTTATTCATTACAATTTATGTAATGTAATTGAAATTTTAGAATAGTGAGGTAGAAGGATTGCTTTTTAAAAAATAAGTTTTTTATTGATGTCAGAGAGGAAGGGCGAGAGATAGAAACATCAGTGATGAGAGAGAGTCATTGATTGGTTGCCTCCTGTGTGCCCCCCACTGGGGATTGAGCCCGCAATCAGGGCATGTGCCCTGACTGGGAATCAAACTGTAACCTCCTGGTTCATAGGTCGACACTCAACCACTGAGCAACACTGGCTGGACAAAAGTATTACTTTTTATTTAGCAGATAACATCTTTGCAGCAAGATGTTAATTAGCATTTTTATTCCAGATGAGTACAATATTTTTGTTTCTTGCAGATATGCAATATGATGAGGATGATGATGAAATCACCCCAGATTTGTGGCAAGAAGCATGCTGGATTGTAATCAGGTAACTTTTAAGGCTAACCTGAATAAGCTCTAAAAGGCACTATAACCAATAAAGGGATTTTCTACTTACTCGGTTCTTGAAAATTAGCTGTTCTGTATTATTGTGCTATATGAGAGCCAGTTTCTTATTTTATTTATTTATATTTAACTTTAAGTATTTTGGACTTACAAAAAGGGTACACAATGAATTCATGTATATACGTCACCTAAATGTTAACCCTATACTATATTTTCTTTGCCTTTTTTTGTCTCCATATTTTTTTCTGAAACATTTCATAGTAAGTTGCAGACATAGGAACATTCTTTTACATAAATCATCAAAATCAGGAAATTAGTATTAATATAATAATCTTATTTAATCTGCAGACTTTACCCAAATTTTGCCATTTGTCTAACTAATGTTGTTTATAGCAAAATAATTATTTTTCTGATTCTGGCTATAACCTAGGATAACATATTGTGTTTGTTTTTCATGACTTATTCTTTTCTCTCCTATAATCTGAAACAGTCTCATTTTTTTTTGACCTTGACATTTTTGAGAAATATAGGACAGTTATTATTTCCCATTCATTCATTCATTCATTCATTTAAATATGTTTTTATTGATTTATTTTAGAGGAAGGGAGAGATAGAGAGAGATAGAAACATCAATGATGAGAGAGAATCATTGATCAACTGCCTCCTGTACACCCCCCCACTGGGCATTGAGCTTGCAACCAGGGCATGTGCCCTGACCAGGAATTG